TGTCCAGTAACCCTGAATTATCCTCTCTAGCAACAGTAAAAACAAAATCATAGAGATCTTCTGGGTCAACACAGTGTCCCCTGCTCCGCCTGAGGCAGCGACGTTTCCTCCCTACTGCAGGTTTCTGCCATCTGCGTGTCTTTCGAGGAATGGGGTGACAAGACAGCTGCTCTGACCTGGAACAAGGGGAAGAACCCCCCTGAATGCTGGTGTGGCCACAGGGCACCTCACTGCTTGTCTCTTCACAGGCTGGGCTTTGCAGAGGATGATTTCTGGGGCCAGAGAGGACAGAGGTCATGCGAGCATCAGCATCTTTTGGGGATCTCTTCTGTTTCTCACCACCGCTCCCTTCCTGCTCAGCATTACAGCCCCTCTCTGCTCCCTCCTGTGCTGACTCCTGGCTTTGGGCTGTGTCCTCCTCTCTGCAAAGGCCACATGGGCTGCCGTGATAGGCAAGGGCATTTCCCGAGCGCCAAAACCCAGCACTCATGGTCAGGATGAGAACGAGAAGAACCGTGTCGGGAACAGGCCAGGAGCACATGGACACCTGGCTGACGGAGCCGTGGTGGATCAGCCGGTGAAGGAGCAAAGCCAGCGAGCGCCTGACGGACTGGTCACAGGAGAGGAGGTGCTGGAACTTCAGGACCCGCAGGGAGCCAGCCAGGTTTTCAAGCACTTTGTGGTTGTGCTCGGCAGCGAGTTCCACAGCCCCCTGGAGCATGTTGCAGAGGGTGAGCTGGGAAACGTGCGGGGAGCTGTGCAGCAGTGGCGAAAAGTGACGGTCGTGGAGGCGCCAGTCAGAGGAAACGTCCAAGACACCATGGAGGACGTTGGAGAAGAACGTTTCAAGGAACTTCTTCCTCCAGCATGTTATGCTCTGCAATAGAACAATAGGGCGTAGGAATAAAAAGTCAGCATCCCTTTTTCTTGTTCTTTTTAAGTTAAATTATTGCTGTCTGCTAACCTGGTGTCCAAAAAACCTCTCCTGCTAGCTCCACTGAGACCACCTCTAGTTCTCACCATCCTTCCTCAGTGTGTTCCTTTAAAACCTGAGTGAACCCCATTGCTCTCTTCATCCTCTTTCTGGCCTAATTTAAACACTCTGTGGTTTGGAGCTGGGCCTTTTTTTTTTTTTTTTTTTGCCTATTAAAAACCACGTCACCAGCAATTTTCTTCTAGCATCTATTTACTGGCTGTCATTAAGTTGTCTGTAAATGATTCTTCTACAAGGATGAAGCAATGAAGCTGCTTCAGTTTTTGTACATAAAACCATTCTCCAAGCTCACTGTCTTCTCTATTTTTCTCATGCTTTGTAAGACATCAGCATATTTTTTTTGCCAGTGTAGGTGTAAACATGATAGAAGATACTGTTTTTATCCTCTGTTTCAGTGAGGATCTCTGAAGACAAAAACTTACTCTTTTGGCAAACTCAGTGTTGGGAGATGAAGGGTGTGGCTGTACCCTATGTTTCCTTTATAAATCCCATTTCCCAAAATGTTTGTATTACCAGGGTCATGCCTTGGTCCGGAGCTCTACAAACGCTTACAAACAGGTGCAGGAATTGATTGGAGGTAGCCAGAAAGAAAACCTCATGGAAAACAGCAGAAACAGGGCTCCTGTGTCGAGCCCCTTGTCCCACCAGAGCGATTCCTCACCTCCGAGTTGGGCGGCCTGGTTTTCATCACATCGTCCCACAGCTTGCGCCAGATGGGCTGTGTCGACAGGCCTGGGGGGAAGAATCATCAACCGAGCGTTTCACCCCTCTCCGTGTCCTGCTCCGGAGCTCGATGGATGCCGGGGACACAGCCCGAGCCCGTCCGGGCGTGGGATACAGCGCGGTGTCCCCGGGACCGCTGTGGGTCGGGGTGCCGTGTCCCGCCGGGAGCGCTCCTCTCTCCAGCTGAGGTCCCTGCGCTGTGGGCTCCTCCCGCCGGCTTTGGGGGCATCTCCCCAGTGTCCCCCGTCAGTTTGAGGGGCCCGTCCCTCCCGCCCGCGGTGTCCCCGCCGCTGTCACCTGCTCTCCGCGCCGCGTCCTCGGCCCGCTCGAGGTGGAAGATGGTGAGGAGCGGCAGGAGCCCCCGCAGGAGGTGTCCGGGCAGCGCTGCGGAGAGCCAGAGGCAGAGTGCGGCAGGGTGCGGGCAGGCCCGCGCCCCGCGCCCCGCCGCCCCGCGCCTTACCCCAGACGTCCCGCTCCAGGGCGGCCATGCTGCGGCTGACGGCGGCCGCGCTCAGCGCCAACAGGCTGCGCGGCCGCTCGGCCGCCATCACCGCCTCGGGCTCGGCCCGCCCGCGCCGCGCCGCCATCTCGGGAAGCGGCCCGAGCGGCCGGCCATGCTGGGGAGGTCGTGCCGAGCAGCGGGCGCACAGACGGGCGGTCACAGCCCGGCCGAGCCGGCCCCGAGGCCGAGGCACGCAGGAGGGAGGGAGAGGAACGGCGGGAGCGCAGCCACGGCCGGCTCGGCGCGGCCACACGCGCGGCCGCTGCCAGCCGCCATGTCTGGAAGGGCCGCGCCGCGGGCCAAGCACCGCCCCGCGGAGGGAGCGGTTCCGCTACCGGCGCGGGCAGCGGCGGTTCCGGCGGGTGACCCTGCCGAGTCCTTCTGTGCGGCGGCAGCGCCATGGGGCAGCGCGGGGAGCCCGAGGTGAGCGCGGGGGCCCGGGGCTCGCCCGGCACCCCCGGGCGGGCAGCCGGGCGGTAACGCTGTGCTCTCTTGTCTTTCCGCAGGAGGAGGAGGAAGAGCTCGTGGTAAGGCGGGGAGCCGCGGCGGGGACTCGCGGCTGCCCGGGGCCGTCAGCACCGACGAACAGGCTCGGGGGGGCTCGGGCCCGCGGTCCGGAGCTCCGTGGGGAGGCCGGGCTGCGCTGTGCATGCGGGGCTCCCTCCTGAAGCGCTGGGGCTCGGGGGGAAGCGGCGTGCGGGGCTGTCCCTGTGCTCACCGCGGCCCCGTGTCCGCAGGACCCCCTGACCACGCTGCGGGAGCAGTGCGAGCAGATAGAGAAATGCGTGAAGGCGCGGGAGCGGCTGGAGCTGTGTAACGAGCGGGTGTCCTCCCACCCCGAGACCGAGGAGCAGTGCACAGAGGAGCTCTTCGACTTCCTGCACGCCAGGGACCACTGCGTAAGTGCAGCGGCCCTGCTGCGGCTCTGAGCACAGCTGCCAGGTTGAATGGGAGCTGTGGTACCTCTTCAGTCCCGTTTTCTTGTTTAATGTTTGATTTCTCCTTGTTAGAATAAATCCAGCTGGGATTCAGCACGTTACTAAACAATTAAATAACTCAAACCCAGCGTTTGTACCCTGCAAATGCCACTTAGCTGTTTCTGTCTTGTACTTGCCATTTTAAAGTTTTGAACCTGAGCTGAAGGTTTGTAAAGCACCTCAGTAGTGTTGTTGAATGACTTTTTGCAGCTGTGGAGGTGTGCATTGTTGGCCCAGAAAACCAGTAGGCACCAACACCTTGTTGATTTCCATCCCTAAGCCATAGGTTACTGAGGGCTCTCTTTCTTTCCAGGTTGCTCACAAGCTTTTCAGTAAGCTGAAGTGAAGGGGGCATGGTTGTCCATCTGCTTCCACAGTCAGTGCCAGCGGTTCTTGGGTCACAGTTCTGCTTCCTGCAGTCCATCCTTCCTACTGAGCATGAACGAAACGGCTTCCTGGCAGCCCGTCACTGCCTCTGTGCTCCTGGAAGATGTGCAGCTGTGCAAAAAAAAAAAAACCCAACGTGTTGATGTTCTGTAATTTTCCGTATTAAACATTGAGAGTTCCTGTGGAAGTGCCTTGTGTTTATTTCCTAGTTCATGTGCTTCTGACTTGTACTGGGTAAAGATGAAATCAAGTGTGTGTCAGAGCCCAGTTAAGGGCAGGAGAGTTTTCCTCACTTGTGGGAATGTCATTTTTCTTCTGCCATGATGCTGCTGCAGCCCAATCCCAGGGAGAAGAGTTTGTCTGTGGGAGCCACAATGATTATTCCTAAGCCCCTGAAGAACAGTGTTGTTCACACAGTATGTTCTGACTAAATTAGACTAAAGGAAGTGACCCTTTTCTAGGAGAGAAAAGCTTGTCCCCACGAGCTTTCCCCCAGGGGAAAGCTGTCACCTGTTCCTGGAAGAGCCTCTGGCAGCAGCCAGCTCTGCCCAAGAATCCAACCACATGGCTGTGGAGGCGCATGGGGTGGTTCACCTACTCAAGCCTCGGTCAGGGTCACCTGGGGGGAGCTAAATCCTTTCTGTGTGAATTACCAGCCTGTTCTGCTCACCCTGGGATTGTCCTGTCCGTGCTCTGCCTGCTCCTTTCGCGAGAGACAGTGTTTGGTAGGAGGAAAAATAGGGTATCTCACGGCTATTCTTCAAAGCGGAATGAAAGCCACCAGTTTATAAATCCGGGCGTTTACCCATGAAGTACTCTCTGCTCCTTTCGCGCGGTCCCTCGCCAGCCGCGCCCCGAGCGCTCCCCGGTCCCGCCCCGGAAGGCGAGCGGCGATGGCGGCGCTGGGCGGGCGCGGGCGGGCGGCGGCCGCGCTGCTGCGCCGGGCCCCGGGAGCGGCCCCGGGAGCGGCCCCGGGAGCGGCCCCGGGAGCGGCCCCGGGAGCCGGGCCGCGCCGGCACCGGCACAAGGAGAAGTGGGTGAGCTGGGCCGGGGCGGGACCGGAGCGCGGCGCACCACGGCGCTGCTTGCACCTCGCCCTTGACCGCACTGACGCGGTGCAGATCCCCGCCTCATCCCCTCGCTGCTCCCTCCTGCCGCCGCTCTGCCTGCGGCCGTGCCCAGCCACGTCCGGCCTTCCACAGAGCCCTGGAATCGCTGCGTGCGCTGAGCTGCAAGGGATGCTTCAGGATGCCGCTCCTGGCCCTGCACAGGACACTGCCAGCAGTCCCGTCCTGTGCCAGAGAGCATTGTCCAAATGCCTCTTGAACTAACACAGGCTTGGTGCTGGGACCCCTTCCCTGGGGAGCCTCCTTCAGTGCCCAAGCGTCCCGTGCGTGAAAAGCCTTTTCCTGTTACACAACATAAACCCCCCTGTCGCAGCTTCATGCCATTCCCTCTGGTCCTGTCACACTCACACTCCAGAAGGGCCTCATGGACTTCTGGCAGCACAGAATCAATGCTGGATTCTCCCAGAAGAACATGAAGGCTGGGTGGGGATCCTGGGTATGGAGGTATCAAGGTGTTTTGCCTTTTAACACTTCTATTATTTTTCCCCACAAGGCTACCACGGCCCCACGCATCCCGTCCACGCGGCTGGCGCTGCACCACTTCGACACGAGCTATGGCCTGCACCTGGGGGCCCTGTGGCCCTCGGTCCGTGCTGCCCTGCTCTGCGAGCAGAAGTACGGGGCCCTCCTCAACAACTTCGCTGCTGCTGACCATGTTCCCCGAGAGCTGGAGCTGCTCAACGCCACTGATTTTGTTTCTGAGGCCCCCCAGAAGGCGCAGCAATGGCAGCGGGGTGCAGCTGTGGGGGAGGCGGCCACAGGGTGCCAGGAGGACTCTGGTGAGAGCAGGACTGGGCTGCAGGCAGAAATGGTGACCCAGGCAGAGATGGCCCCACCACTTTGCACCTCCAAAATCAAGTGTTACACCTTCCCCAGGGGTGACATCACGCGCTTTCGTCCTGCACGGTGAGGCATCCCTGACAGTCCGCCCTGGTCTTTGCCAGCCTCAGGGGCATGGCTCATGTGTCGCCATCCTCACTTCCAACTGCTCTTTTACTTTCTTTTCCCCTCCAACATTTGCTTTTGTATGCAAACTGATGATTTCAGGCCAGATGCTCTGGGGTTCCTCGACTATTACCTCATGGATGCAGCATCTCTCCTGCCTGTCCTGGCTCTCGATGTGCAGCCAGATGACTTTGTCCTCGACCTCTGTGCGGCTCCGGGTGGGAAGACTCTGGCTCTGCTGCAGACTGGGTTTTGTGGTGAGTGGGGATGGGTGTTCCTTGTTCCCGTGTGTAAAACAGGCCTGGAGCAGTGTACTGCACCCATTCATGTCTGATCATTAATAATTTCTGTGTGTAAGAGCTGGGAATCAGGTATGCTTCTGCAAAAGTGACATTCCCAGTGTGCCTGTTCTGTCCTGTCAGGGTATCTGGCAGCCAACGACGTCTCTGCTTCCCGGACAAAGAGGCTGTACCACATTCTCCATAGCTATGTCCCCAAAGAAGTCAGGGATACTGTCAGTGTCACATCCTACGACGGAAGGGACTGGGACCAGGTGAAAGGAGGCACTTTCCATAAGGTATGTGCTGGGGAAGCAGTGAAGATAAACCCATGAAATTCACTTCTCTTTTTGAGGAAGACAGAAGCTTATCCTTCCACATAACTGTAGTTTTCTGTAATCATAACTGCAGAGAAGGAGAGAAGACCAGGACATAAGGAGTAAGATTTCCTCCTGCTATCCCTTCCTGCAGGATCTGGTGCATATGGGCATCTAGAGTTGTACCTTTACTTGCCTGTGTAACACCCTTTGGAAATCCTGTTCTTGTCCATCGCTTGGAAGGGGTTAAATGTGAAGATTAGATAATTCTGACTTGTCAGCCATGTCCAGCCACAAGGGCTGGGCTGGGTACTCCGGGATGCTGCAGCAGCAGTGCCTGTGTGTGGTGCAGGAGCATTGCCAGGGACGCACAAAGACCTGGGACATTAAATGAGGACGTGAGTTAGTGCAGGATATTTTCCACCATTTTTGCACGTTCCCAAAATGCCAAAGCGGCCAGATGATTACAGTTCAGTGTGATGCACACCTGTGTTCAGGCATTGAGAGCTGTTGGCAGGGGTGGAGGAGGTGGGCATGGGGCTGGCTGCAGGAGGGGACTCACTGAGCTTGACCTGTGCATGGGGCTGAGGTGGAACCTCTGCTGCTGCAGGTGCTGGTGGATGTGCCCTGCACGACAGACAGACACTCTGCCATGGAGGAGGAGAACAACATCTTCCACAAGAGGCGAACCAAAGAGCGTCAGATGTTGCCCATGCTGCAGCTGCAGCTGCTGATGTGAGTGAGCTTGGTTGTGTTGTGTTCCCTGAAACTTCTTACTCTGTCCCCAACTGGGAATTGTGGAAGCCATGTGTAGTTTTCTGGCAGTAGTTGGAACACATGAAATCACATTAAGTGTAGGAAAGTGCAGATGTTCTTGGTCAGATCACTTGTCCTCCTGTCCCCAGAAGCAGTGGTAGGATATAGGGAGAAGGGCTAAGAAACAGGATGGGTACAGTTGTTTTGGGTGGTGATCTCCTGGGTCCCAGCAGTCAACCCTGGAAGATTCCTGAGTGCCCACCTATCCCAGCACATGGGAGGATGTGTGGTGCTGGGAAGGGCCACAGCTTGTCACTGTGTGCTGTGTGCTGTGGCAATAAGGAGGCAGATTAGAGAGTCCCATGGCAACACTTGAACTGTAATCTCTTCCCCTGTACGTATTTCCTGTTCCTTTGGATGTGACTGCAGGATTACATCTTCCAGCTGCTCTCCAGTAGCATCTCCCACGTTAAATCCTTTATTAGTATAAGTACTGTTTGACTCTTTGCCCTGGCCCAAAACACTGCTCATGTTACAGTGGCCCAGACTGCTGAGCCTGTGGAGTTCAGTGGGGTTTGTCTGTCACTTCCTATGAGTCCCCTGTTGGCTTCCCAGTTTTGGTGGGTGGGAATGCCCCTCAGTGTCCTCCCTCAGAGCCCTCTGGTGACCATGTGTGTGCTCACCTCACTGCAGGGCTGGGATCCTGGCGGCGAGGCCGGGAGGAGCTGTGGTGTATTCCACGTGCTCGCTGTCCCCGCTGCAGAACGAGTGTGTGGTGGAGAGGGCGCTGGACGTTGCAGGAGCCCACTTCAACATCAGTGTGCACGTGGAGGCGCTGAGCCACTTCCGGACGCTCTTCCAGGACACGTTTTCCTTCTTCTCGGACTGCCGGCTCGGGGAGCTTGTCCTGCCTCACCTCACAGCCAACTTTGGGCCGATGTATTTCTGCAAATTACGTCGGATGTAGAAGGGGCAACAGAATCTGTCTGTTTGCTGTCAGGAAATGGCCCAATATTTAAGGGAAAGCAGAACTGCTTGATATTTATTTTTCTTTCTAAAATGTCCCAAAGGAAGTCTGCTTTTTTTACTGCAGACAGGGAATAAATGAGAAGGACCTGCTGTGGCGTTTCCTGAACACTTATCTGTTTGAGGCTGAGGCGTTTAATCTAGGAAAGAGAGAGAGGTCTTATCAGAGGGAGCAATTTATCCATCTGTGTGGGATGGGATAAATGGCCCTGCTCTCTTCCTCGTGTCTGACTGCTTTGATCCTGCATGAGCAGGTTTGGGTTAACAAACACCATCTGAGGATCTCGGCCTTTCTGTGCCAGATCTCACCATCTGCATAAATGAGTTGCATCTGTCTATGCTCATCTCCTGCCTTCGGAGAGAGCAGCCTGAGGTCTTGAAACCAGGGGCTCCTAAGAGTGCCCCTCCTGTGGGGTTCGAAATGTGCTTGGGATGCTGGGGATCTGGTGCTGTGGAGAGGCCAGCCACTGTTGCTATCCCTCACAGCTAGGAAGGCTGTGGATAAATGTGAATGTTCCCATGCTAGATGCCATTTAATGTCCAGTGGGCAGGTGTTTGTATGATTTTAAGTATAACTTTGTTTCTAGAATCATCACCATCAGTAGAGCATTACTGGAATTTTTCATAGGAGTTGCTTAATAGTTACATTTTTATTTTTGTGAGCAAATTACAGTGTTGGGAAATGATGGACATGGCTGTATTCCTCATGGGGCAGCCCATAGTTCCATCCATATGAAGTTACTCCACTGCCAGCAAGAAAATACTATTAAAATTCTGTAATCCTTTCCTCCCAGCACCGCCCTGCCTCTGCAGGAGGCAGCACTGATAGAAATTGGGGTGAACCCACATCCATGGCCATCCATCCTTGCTGGAAGTGCAGTTCCTCGATTTTCCACTGTTTGAACCTATCTTAAGCCAGTCCTGCAGGGCATCTGGGCTCCTTACAGGATCTGTGTTTATTGGCAGGGAGGGGCTCAGGAGGTGGCGTTTCCTTCCTCCTCCCCTCCTCAGTGCACTCTGCACTGCGGGTGGCAGTCGTGCAGCACCGTCCCTTCTCCTTGGGGACCTTGGTGACTATGCCACCCTCTTGTCACGGCTGAGGGTCTCCACCTCCTTCATGAAGCGCAGGCACAGCTCCTCCTGCCAGGGCAAGGCCACGCACTGCACGGCCACGGGCATCCCCACGGCTCCTGCCACAGCCTGCAGCGGGGGCACAAGCAGTGAGGGATCACCCGGGCACTTGGACCTCCAGCAGAGTTTGGCAGCTTGGTTTAGGCCTGTGGCTCATCCCACAGAGTGGGGAGGTTGGAGTTTGAGCCTTGTTACTGTGCTGGGCAGAAGGAAGGCTCTTGCTCTTCTCTCATAGAAATGGTTGCCAAATCTTGGGTAACATGTTTGAGACACCTTCCCCCACACACACCCCAGCCAGCTCTGCTTTGAGCTGTCTTATAGGCAGATCCCTTTTCCTTCAGCATTCCTGATCCATGCTGCACTGACAGCCTGGGCCTGGTTGAAGGCAACATGCAGCAGGAGGAAAGTGCATTGCAGTGCTGTGGGCTGTGGCTGTTGCAAGGACCTGCTCCCAGAAGCTTTGCTGCATGACTCCTTGCTGGCTTCAGCCTACCCAGCCTGTGGGAAATCCTTTAGTCCTCCCAAAACTTAGTGATTTATCTATTGAGGGCTTGGGAGAGCAGCAAGGGGTATGTTCAAGGTGGGTTTGGGAATTAGCAAGGGGTGTATAAAGAAGATAGGAATTTTTTTGTGCTGTGCCCATACTGATGGAGGATATAATCAAAACTGTTACCTGAACACACATCAGAAGTCTCTGCTCCACCACTTCCCATACCTGTTTCAGTGTCCGGTCCCAGGGGTCATCACAGCAGCCTTTGTAAAGCTTTAGCTCTTCCTCATCAGCCTCTGTCACGGTGCTGACGGGGACAACCCCAGCGGGGAAGTTCAGGACGTTGTACAGCATTGTGGAGGAGATGGCAGCTGAGAGAAGCAGGAGAGGATGCAGGCAGTCACAGCCTCCTGTCTTCAAACTTACACATCCCCTATTCACTGAAACCCCTGAGAACTGTGTCTGTCTCCATTTGCTCAGAGAGCTCTATGTAGTTACTTTTCCTTCCTAATTCCCATGAGATGCTTGGGCAGGCAGTGAAGCGCTGTGGTAATGGGTGTTGCCCTCCAGTCTTGGCCACTGTGGCTCTTTGCCCTCCTGGGAAGGCCCCAGACTCACTCACTGAGGAGTTTCCCAGGGTATCCCGTGGTGAAGGCAGGTCCCAGGACAGGGCACAGCACAACGTCCAGCTGGAGTTCCTTCCACTGGCTGATGAACTGGGAGCGGTACAGCTGCGGGAGGAGAGGAGCATGTCGTGGAGCCATGTCCATGCCTAGAGCCTCTCAGCCTCTCCAGGCACACCTGAGGAGGCAGCAGCAGGCAGTGGTGCTCAAGGGATGAGGCAGAGGAGCGTGTTTGCCTCCATTGCGTGTGGCCAGGAATTTGAAAGGTCCCACTTTGTCCAGCCCCACTCCCAGGGCAGCCTTTACTGTGCCTGGCCATGAGCACTGCAGGCAGCCCATGAAGTTCTGTCTGGGCTGACTCAAAAGCCCATCCACCCCATTCCTGTCCTTCTTTGTGCCTTTCCCTCCATCCTATCTTCTTCCAGCAACCCCTCCCCTGCACAATCCCTTTCCAGACTGATGACTCTGACCTGGTGCTTGCCACAAAACCTCAACTTGTAGTAGGATGCCAAAGAGGAAAGTCCTCAAAACAAACCTGTATTTGATGGTGATGATTCCACATCTCCTTCACTGACCTGCAAGTGGAAATCATAGCAACATCTTTAAGCTTTAAGAGGAGGAGGAATTGCTTAAATAGTCTTCTGGGTTGATAAGCCCTGGTGATTTTAGCAATTGCTTAAAACAATACAGCTTTCACAATCTTCCTAAAGTTTCCTTTGGCATCTGGCCAAGCAATTAAGCAGCAAATGTCTGGAAGTGCTGGAGAGAAGGTTTCCCTGATGGGCCTGGATTTAATACTCATCTCTTCCACAGGCTTCCTGTAATGACCTTATCCATTCAAGTGCCCCATTCCTGTCAGGATATCCCTAGGGGCAGTGGAGCCATGTCCAGGAATGAAGGACAGCCCCTGCAGACAGCAGATCACAGCCTTCTGTGAATCCAGTCCCCCCTAGCTAGAGGAGAAGGTGTCACCCACTTCCACGGACATCCCTGGGGACAATTCCATCTTACCTCATTCCAGCCATGGCGCTCAGGTACTCAGCCAGGCGGGGGAACTGCAAAGGCACGAGGTTCCTTAGGGACATGGCATGGGCCTGCAGTAACTTGTGTCACCCCAGGAAGTCCCTGTTCCTGTCCTGAGGGACAGGGACTCACCAGAGGTTTCAGAAGCAGAGCCAGCAGCTTTTTCACCAGCCTTGGGATCTTGCAGAAATTAATCTGTGGTTTCAAGCCTGGATCTGCAATATCTCCTGTGCTGAGAGATGACAAGAGGATGGGGTCACACCAGAGAAGCTGTTTGCCCTTTCTCAGAGACCTGAGCTGTGCCTGTGCCATGCTCATGGCATGGGGATGGAGGTGTTGGCAGCACTGCTGCCAGAGGGCTCCTACTTACAACACATCCAACCAGGTACGGCCTCCATCAGCAAAAAACGTCTTCATAAACAGTTCAGTCATGACATAGGGGATCCGAGGAGGAGAGAAGTGCACCAGCTGCACCAAAACACAAGATTATGTGGCAGCCTGGCCATGTGAATAGTTTCCAAGACCCAAATGTGGATAATCCTCAAAGGCAGAGAAGCACCTCCCTGGGCTTCATGTGCCAAGAGAAGCCCTGGTTCGACTGTTTTCTATCCAAGCACCTCCCCATGAGATTATTGCTGCTGATTTCCCATGAGATGCACTGCTCCCTTAGGCAGAGGGGTGTCTCTCTGCCTGGTGTTATGTGGCTGGAGTAACATAATCCCATACCTCAGCCAGGTCATTTTTCCCACAGATGTGCTTGGGAGCTGTGTCTGGTTTCTGGAGAGTGATTTCCTCAGTGAGGAGCGAGGCTGGGGACACTCTGGGGAGAAGAGCAGGGGTGGTGGTGCTCACCTGGTGCCCAGCAGCCTGCAGAGCATGCCTGGTTTCCTTCACTGCCCTCCTCATGCAGGGGGGCAGCGGGAAGTAGCCGTCGGTGTCGTAGTACCCGACCCGCAGGGGAGTGGAGCTGGAGTACACCTGGAGCAAAGACACCACTTCAGCATTCCTATTCCTAGTGGGATTGCTGTGGAAATCCTTTAGACATACACCATTGACCAGGTCTGGGACTAAGACTGTTTCCAGCCACACCCACACTACATCAAGAAAGCAAAGGGGTCCTTTCTGAACCTTGTGACTCAATGGCAGGGTCCTCCCTGCCCTTTACATCCCCAGACTTCAGGCAAATCATTCCAAAGTGACACTAAGCTGATTTTCCTTTGTATGCTCCATCTTTGGAATATGTAACAGAGTGAGCCCTGTCATTAAACTTTGTCATCCTTCTGCAAATTTGTATTAAAATCTGCTTTCTCCAATGCCTTTGACAGCGATTCTTTCGTGACGCCCACCTGGGGTAGGTCTGCTCTCATGCTGGCACCCACTGCAGAAGGGGGCAAGAGCTCCAAATGTGAAGCAGTGACTACTATTCTGGTTTGCTGTTTATAGTTACCCTTTCCAAATGTCTATCCCTGCCTTTTTCTCCAGGCCTTCCTTTAGGAGGAGGACAACCATTCCAGACAAGTGGATTCAATCATTTCTAATAAGTGTGGAGGTAGAAAAGCCTCCTGAAGCTGGTCTGCTGCAGAGAGAAAGGGAACACCCTCAGTTAAGAGATTTGTGCAGAAGTTTCTGATCTTGTCTCATCTTCCCCTAAAGATCTCCATGTATTTGCTCCCAGTGTTGCCTTCTTCCCTAATCTTTTTTCTGGGTCCTCTCAAGTCAATAAGCTGCATTCCAGCTGAGAAGACAGACAGGATAACTACTGATTTGCCTATTTTTTTAACATGATAATTATGAATTGTGCCCCCAAAGAGAGCTATTTTACTGAAAA